CCTCTGCAAAGCACTGACCTCCTTATTCGAATGTATCTGGAAGGAAGAGGGTTTCCCGGATAATTGGAGCGAATCGACTATAGTGGCAATATACAAGAAGGGCAGTCGCACAGACTGTTCTAACCACAGGGGTATTAGCCTAACGTTAGTTGTGACAAAAGTACTGGCCTCGATTATCGTTCGTCGTCTCACTGCGGAACGGGAATCTCGGATTAGGGAAGAGCAGGCTGGTTTCCGCTCAGGATGTTGCTGTGTAGACCATATATTCACTTTGCGGCAGGTGCCAGAGCAGCGCCACGCATACCGCAGACCGACAATAGCTGTGTTCCTCGATTTCAAGAGTGTGTTCGATTCAGTCGAATGATCCATTCTGTTCGAAATATTTGCGCGGAAACGTGTTCCCATGAAATAAGTGAACATCCTAAAGTGCTCTAAACTCGAACAATACAGGTCGCGTCAGTGTCTACGGTGTTCTCTTGAATAGATTTCCGACCACAAGTAGTGTTCGTCAGGGTTGTACGATTTCCTCATTTTTGTTCATTTCCGTTGTAGGCTCTATGATGGGGTGTTCCCTTGCGGAATCTCACCATGTAAACGTTGAAGTCTTGACTGATGAAAGGCTGGTTGATATTGATTATGCGAACGATATTGTCCTGCTTTTTAACGATGTTTGGGCAGCACAAGCAACCCGCAATTACCTCTACAGTGGCCTCATAACTTGGCAAGCGCTTTGCACCTTCAAACTTCAAAGTGTTGATGCAGCACTACCAGCCACTTGATGATCGTTTGACCCTTGATAGCGATGAACTCGGGACAGTCGATGAATTCACTTACATTGGCAGCTGCATCAAACAATGATGGGCGCATAACAAAATGAAGCCAGTTCAGTAGTGCAAAAGGCAAGACTGTCTTCTTGAAGCTGTGACATCTGTGGTGCCAGAAAAAAATTTCCCTCGGTCTGAAAGGTGGTGCTTACGAGGCAACAGAGAGGGCTGTCCTTTTCTATGGGAGTGAGACTTGGCCCCTCCGGTCTGAATATGACGCACCCCAAGACTTTGATCATTTTGTCTGCGTAGCACTGCTGGTATCGGGTGGCACCAGCCTGTCCGTAGCGGTGATGTGTATAGGCGTGCTAGACAGCGATAACCAAGCTAGCACGTAAGAACAATTGATAACACCGAAGAAATTGCGTGGGCTTGAGCACATGCTACGTAAGCCTGGTCACAGCTTACTGAGAAGAGTCTTATTTTGTTGGCCAGAAGTAGGGTGGCGCAATGCTCGAAGTGGACAAAAGTTGACTTGGCAGCGAGAAACTAGGTCAATGACGATCAAACTGGGTGATGTCAGTCCGTCTCACCTACCAAGCTGAAGTCCACCTGAATCGCTTTATGCTTGGCTCGAGACTTTTCAGGACAGGATTCGCAGTCGACCCCAGTGGCGCGTCCGCTGCAGTCTACTAGTAAAACCACCTGTTAAAAGTGTGTTTGATGGTGAGTTATCTGCGGAGTAATGTCTGAACATGACGCGCGGCAGTGAGAGACGTAACTAGCCTGTCTGGCCGATGCCGCCATTTACATTCATGATGGTCATGTGTTTCTATAGGGTGCTGTTGACGAGCTGTAGGCGCCTTGACGCTGAATGTTTGTTTAGGGCATTAAGATTCCGCGGAAGGTAACCTTCACTCCCTGTTAGTATACGCGTTCTGTAGATCAGCATGATTGTACGGAATATGGCTCATGTACTGCCGTTGATGATGATGGAAAAGTGGGTTGCACTGAAACGCAACCAGTTCCAGTAGTGGCAGAAAACCGTTGGAAAAGATCAATTAGACTATTAAAATGGTCAGAAAAAGCTTTAAACCGACATGAGATAAAGTACAGAACATTTAGAAAACAAATACGTTGGTGTATTATGCCATACAAAGATTGGAAGAGAAGCTGCTGCGAGGAGATCTCTTTTCGATACTTCTCCTCAGACATTTACAGTTATGAGAAAAATTGATACAACATGATAAGCTATCCAAAGCTGCAGTAGTGAATGGTTAGGTCACAGTTTAATGGAAGGTCAATAGGCCAATCGATAGATCACTCAATGCAATCAGGTGGTAAATGTCACGCGCATTCACACCCAAACACTGAAAGGCAAACATAACAAGAAGGAAAAGGTTGGTTTTGAGTCAAAACTCACAATTAGTCCTCGGCAAAGGTAGGTACACACGGCGTCGATCGTTCCGGCCAAAACAGCGTGAACGCTTGGGGACCCCATTGCAATGCCGTCTATTTGTCGGTAGTATTTTTCATGGAACAAGAATTGTTTGTTATAGGTGCAAGGCAGAAGTAGTTCCTTTACTCGTTGAACCGGAATCCCGGTACGTTCACAATCTTGCTAACGTACAGTTGAGCAAGTATCAACTAAAAGCTCTTGCACTGGGACCGAAATTTTGTTTGTCGTGGCCAAACAGTGGACAGATTCATGTACAAACGAAGTTCGAATGTTTAATGCAATAGCTAAGTGATTTGCCACCTATTTGTTTTTCCGCGAACGCTTCTTTCAAGAGCACTGGTGAACGTTTCTCATCAGTACTTAAATTACAAGCGGCAACCCTCAAAACTGATCACTAATGAGCACCGAAAAGCCGTAAAAGAACCGACATCTAATCCCGAAGTTTTGTTCTTCCGTCCAGAAAAAGGATCGGGTTGGGTATTGATGACAAATCAGGCTATATGGTGATGTGTACCATATTCAGGATTCGACCAAATTAATGCTTGGTCCGATACAAAAAGATAGCACCGCAAATAATGAAACTAAGTTCACCAAGTTGTCGAAAGTACTCAAGCGCGTCAACTATATTGAAGGCTGCTTACTCGAGAGTCTAACTTCATGTGACTCACAACCACCCCGCCTCTACTGGCTACCAAAAGTGCCCAGGCCTAAGGTACCAATGCATCCTATCATCGACATGTCCAGCTGTGCTGCACACGTAGTTGTCAAGTGGCTGGTTGACTTGAACCACTACATAAAGAATTGTCGGTCCACACTGTGAATGCCACTTGATTTTGTTAAACAAGCAGAAGACCTGAATGTGAGAGACAAGTTGGTGCTTTCTTTCGACGTAGAAGCACTCTTTACGAATGTTTTCTTGATCGAGACTGTTAACTTCATGTGCGAATACCTAACCGAAAACAACATTGATATCGGTATTCCCGTTCAACGAGTAAAGGAACTACTTCTGCCTTGCACCTATAACAAACAATTCTTGTTCCATGAAAAATACTACCGACAAATAGACGGCATTGCAATGGGGTCCCCTTTAGGGCCATTTCTTGCCGACTTTTTCCATGCAAAAATTGAGCGCGGCCCTGTTCGCTACTTTAGCGCATCTCCTGTCTTCTATCGACGATACATGGACAAAACGTTCATCGTATACAACCCACAAATTGAACACCTCCACCTACTTGACCACTTCATCCGTGTGCAGTTATCGTTAAAATTCATTTGTGAAATAGTGAACGACGGTGAGATCTCATTTTTGGATGTGTTACTGCGGCGGCGAGCTGACGGATTGCTTGAGCGGAGAGTATTCCGCAAGTCTAGGTGGGTGGGCCAGTACACGCATTTCCTTAGTTTTGTGCTTATGAAATACAAGGGAAACCCTGTGCATTGTTTTTACTATCGCGCCGCAAACATCTGCAGAACAGAAACATTGGGTGCTGCGAAGAATTTCATTCTTGCAACGCTACAAAATTACGGTTATCCCACGGCCTTTATCCACAAACATTCTGTTGTTTCTGATCAACCTAAAGTAATACGAACGGTAAGGAAAAAGAAAGTCTTCATTTCGGTTCCCTTAAATGGAGATAACATTTACGAGTTACTGGACAAAACATTGTCCGTCGCTGCGAACCAAACATATCTGGCTGCAAGAGTTCACCTTCTTGCTGAGACTGTTTCGTTTATCACTAAAATTCTCTAAGACAGACTCCCGACTCACTCCGAATCTTTCGTCGTATATAAGTTCACCTGCACCTGTGGTGCCAGGCATATCGACCAGGCGTCTGTCTAAGGGGCTAGCGAAACACTGTCCTGTCTCTTTATGCTACGATACAGTTAAGAATGCCCATAGCTCCGTCCTTGAACACCTGATTAGTACGGGGCATCATGTTCGGACCGATGACGCTTTCAAAGTTCTTTACGCCGTATCTAAACGCAACCCAAAAGGACTCAGGAAGCGCCTGTTGGCTACTTCGGAAGCAATGGCTATCACGCTGCTGCGACCCGAGTTATGCAAGCAGAGGACCCTTGTACAAGCGTTCACGCTGTTTTGGCCGGAACGATCGACGCCGTCCGTACCTACCTTTGCCAAGGACTAATTGTGAGTTTTGGCTCAAAACCAACCTTTTCTTTCTTGTTATGTTTGCCTTCTAGTGTTTGGGTGTGAATGCGCGTGACATTTACCACCTGATTGCATTGAATGATCTATCGATTGGCTCGTTGACCTTCCATTAAACTGTGACCTAACCATTCACTACTGCAGCTTTGGATAGCTTATCGTGTTGTATCAATTTTTCTCATAACTGTAAATGTCTGAGGAGAAGTATCGAAAAGAGATCTCCTCGCAGGAACACCTCTTCTACAAATAATGTCGTACAAACCTGTGATGTGGTAGTTTTACCCAAGACGAGAGAGCTGAGTCTTTGGGTAGATATTTTGTGGGAGATGACATAATGGTAGTCATTGGTTGTGACGTATGTCATAGCAACGGTATCCGCCAATAGACCGCGCTTAAGCAGTTACAACCAAATAAATCCGAAAGTTATATGTGGGGTCAGCACCTATCTACTCATGTATCCTACGAATACACCCACCGTCTGAGTTCCTGTTATGTGAACCTTACAATGGTTATGACACGCAAGGCATCGCATCAGACCCTCTGGTCTAAGGACGGACTTGAGCGTTTTGTGCATGCTTTGTCAAAGGTTTGAAAGGATGTGACATAAGTTGTGTCTTATGCTTTTACACACGTTGTATAACATTCAGGGTCTGTGCAACAAAGTATAAGCGATAAATAACGCGGTTGCAATGTCGCCCCATGGAAACGCAAGTGATGGGAAAACGTGGAACTAGATCCGTTAGGGAGACGGTAGCTGAGTTGATACAAAGTATGGCTGTGGACGAAGCTTCTGATTGCTGAATCGGGCTTTTAAACTGGCGGAGAATCAATTGAGGGCTGATGCAGATAAGGGATTGTTACCATAATGCCATTTCGACCGAGATAAAAAGGTGACACCACTTGGAAACGACAAGTTATAATTGGTCGACAAATAGCTTGTGTACAAAGCAGGGAAAGCTGAGAAAAGAAAGACGAGGATGGGAAAGTTTGATGAAGGCGTTGCTGTAACCATAGAAATCAACTCTGACGTGACGGCCGATGTAGGAATGAGCGAGTGCAAGTTGTATCAACGTATCTGCATAAGCATTCTGCTCTCTAGACTTTCGAATGGACAAAGCACCTCTAATCCGCGATGTTCAATTGGGCTATGAAGACGAATGGCGCGCAGATGCGTGTCTCGTCCGTTCTGGTGGTTCGCCATAATGATAATCTGCAACATGAACGTGCGTATGGGAGAACCGTCCGGCCAAGTGAGAGGCAGAATGCACCATCCGGTTGGCTGCTGTAGCACAACATTCGCCAACTGGATCAGATCATGGATGGTGTTCCCCACCATCACAGCCAAGCTGAAAAGGGAAAGCAAATAGGTTATACTATTAAGGTATGGCGATAAACGACGGAAATTTGTGGGATACAAAACATATCAAAAGTTCAACTGAGAATTCGAAAGTGCATGTTATAGAAGTACATGCACCACAAAGCACTTAGATTAGCTCAGTCAAACGAATTTCCAAGTTTAGTGACGACAATATACTAACTGATTTTCTGCTGGTGTCCTTTTTAAGGACATCTAAGATGCAGTTTAAGCACTGAATTAAGTAAGATAAACTTGCGCTGGGTAAAATGAGTCCAAAATAATAAAAATTTGTGTATTTTCTGAAAGCTCAATCACAAAAATTATAAATGTTATGTTTGTTCAATGCTTTGAATCCCATAGTAAAACAATCTCCTAAAAGAACGCCAGAAGAAATTGGGTTCATGAGTAAATATCGACCCATGGAGGTAGATGCAATTCCAGTCGATTAGAAAATCAGTATTAACGGAGACAACGTGTAATAGCTGAGGACTTACAGTTACCCAGAAACCACACATTGGGAACCAGAAGAGCACAGAGATTTCAACCCTGTGCGAAATGTTTCCGTGACAGAAACGTTGTCTCAGAGATAATGCTAGCTGTTGCATTCCTGTAGATCAGAAGCAGCTATTTGCTACGAACCGTGGCCTGTACGAGCAAATCTCGAGTGAGAGGCGCATACACGTAAGAGAACCATTGCTATTGAGCATAACAGAGTGATCAGATGTAGGCCGTGCTCTTGAAATTAAGAAGTACGAATAAAACCAGGCCGTGGTATGTATAACGCTGTGAAAGTACGATCTGGGAAACCATGATCGGAACAAAGGCTTCATAATAACCAAAAAGAGACCAGCAGACATTTGAACTGCTGTTTTGTTGCCGAACGAAGAATAATAAGAGGGATATAGCGTGAAACTTTGATGCTCTGATCAAACGTCCAGGGTAAAGGTGCCGAGACTCCTTGTGAAGGATTCAGATGGGATTGCCGTTTGGTAGTAAGGTTTGGTATAGGATGGAGGTCCGTAGTTGACATCGTTGCCGTCGGCACGTACACTGCGGCAGCCCTTCTTGGACACTTCGACTGGGATAGACACGCTGTACTTCGCTGAAACAGGTTCTTCCCATCATATCCATTAGAACAAGTGGATCGATCCTCAGCAAAGGACTTCGCCACTTCCTTACTTAGCGAGTGCGCGAGAAAATTCCGACTAATAGCGAGAAAAAGGTTGAGATTGCATCACAAATCCAGCCTGAGTCGCGAAGCGAAGCAGTTCAGACGCACCGGATCAACAAAATCGCTGCTGAGCCAGACAACATTCCCTAGGTTAAATGAGAGCCGGTGCTTTGAATGTATTATTGGTAAATGAGTTACGCGAAACAACGGCGCAAATTAGTTAGAAAAAGCTGTGGAGACAAGTTGTCGCCTCCACTTCCTGCATTCCCCGGACCCTTTCAGTTATCTGTGCGCATATGTCATCGCATACTGATATTGTTGTGGATGTTGAAAGGGTTGGTTCATTTGGATTCTAACAGTAGGACCGACCTTATGGAGCTCCATCGCTCGGTGCAGTGACGACTAATAGTGGAGCAGGCAGCAGTGCTGGTGTCATGCAAGATGGAAGGACCCCAAATCCAACCATATCACTCATGAGCACAAAGCTTAAGAGAAGTGAAGCGATAAAGCAGCTCCGACGGACTTCATCTGTTACGGTGAACTCAATGAATAACCTTAAGCAGAACCTCGCAAGACAGCGAACCGGGTGATACATTGTGTTTAGAGTGGAAAAGGTGTAGGTTTCAATTCAAGCGTTCGAAGATAGGAAGCGCTACGAACAGGAGCGCTTAGTGGAACCAAACGGATATTACCATCAGATATACCCACCGATTTGTGTCTAAGCAGCTATGGAATTATGCGTTTTAAAATCGATTCCAAGCGTAGTACACTGTGGGCAGCTGGGATGGCACTCAACTGTCTGGTGAGGAGCAAGCGTGGTCACCACAAACTTTGCAGAATAGGAAGCCAGACTGATGTCCATCAACTCATCTCTGATGAGGACCAGTGGAAGATAACAGCAGGATGCACGTGAGCAGCATGCGGGCAAGTAAAGAGGCAACAGAACGATGATTCTCAAAGAACACCCCCTGGCTCTCTTCAGTCCAACGACTGATGGTTGACAACCATCAGACAGATTACACTTCCGTTTGCGTCAGCATCGAACAGGTCAAGTCAGTTGGTTGCTAGAGTACTCACCGGTGAAAGGTCGTTTGAACCAGGCGTCTTGGTTCGCTCCTTGATATTGGGAAGTAATTATGTCAATGTTCCAAAAGGGGCTCAGGCGAGCAAACTAGCAGTAATAAAGCATCGCTATCCAAAGTGCCAGAGCCAGCATTCAAGATGATGAAATTAAAAGTGGACTAGCTATCCATTTCTATCAGCTGCGGCCCCGCTCGGGGTAGTATTTTTGAATCAGTTCACCGAATAAGTTGGTGTTCAAATTGAAAATGGCGTTCACCCCACGGGCCTTCGTCATTAACCAATGCTCTCGGTAGACTCGCTAACTACGGGCCCAGCGCGGATGCAAAGCGAACTTTCGCCCCCTTTTTATATCACCAGTGGCATGAAACAGGGCTGCCCTGCATCACACTGCCTGTTCAATTTCGCAATAGATGACATTCTGGAGAGCGCTCTGGAGCATTGCGGACCCAACGGGGTTGAATTGATTCCGGGGGACCGACTTCGCGATTTGGAGCATTCAGATAAGTTTGCCGTAATATGTGATTCGTCACAGACCGCCCAAAAGGTACTGTGCAGGTTGGTGGTGTCTGCCGCCTAGTTTGGAATGACCTTCGCCCCTTCAAAGTGTAAGGACTGTACAGGACTGGCTAAGACCTGCTCCCAACCTTACCATTTCAGGTCAATCTCTGGGAGTGGCAGACAAGTTCGTGTACCTCGAAAACTACCTCAGCGCTATCGGTTTAACTGGATGAGGCCTCTTTGCGCAGCTCTAAAGCCCGGGTAGCGTTTGTTAACCTCAGCCATCTCTAGGGTCAAGGTGACCCGAGGCTCTCTCTGAAGGGCCGAGTCTACAATGTCAAACTGAGCGTGGTCCTGCTAAACGGTTGCGAGACTTGGCCTGATCATGCAAAGGACGTTCAAACGCTGTCTCCGGAGCATTGCAGGTGGACAGTGCCAACATCACATTAGTGCTGGGGATGTTCATCGAGGGGGCTTCAAATCGGACAGATTTTGCCAGCCACGGAGCAGTATAATTCACTGCATAGGTTTCGGTGGCTTGGGCACGTGTTTCGCATGCCTACTGAGAGCTTTCCGCGCCGTGCAATCTTTGCGCGCACATAAGTCGGCTAGAAGCGAAGATAAGGTGGCCATCAAATGACTTGTGCTGAAAATATGTAGGGGTTGATCTCACGTTTGGCCACGGTCGGGCGCTCTCGAATCCCCGGTTGGGGAAGCAAGGACCATGAACACACTCGGCTGGAAACCACTTCGGAAATGTTATGAAACAGTGAGCAATGGCGAACTTGTGAGATCTTGATTCCATGACTCCAGTTTTACACCTTTTACTCTCTCTACTTCCCTATTATTGTTGTATTATATTTGTTCACACGTTGTGGCACTCTGCCAATCGTACTGTTGGCCGTGTTCAATGTATACCAGACCCGTAGTCCGACGATATTTCAAAGTGATACCGATACCGTGAAATTTACGCCGCAACAACAAAATCATTCCTGCTTCGACTAATCCGGTCGAAGCTTCATAAATCCATCCCCATTCAAACACGCATTAAAGGCGATAACATTCCGCTTGTCCACCTTATACGCTAGTGACAGCTGACGCTGCAACTCGAAATGAATAGTCGCTACGTGGATTGTGAATGTGCTTTAAGTGCAGACACTATCAAGTTTCGGCATTTCATCAGGATGAGGTTACGAGACCATGGTCAAAATCAAAGGAGACGCTTCAGATTCATCCACAATCTTATAATGATGTGTACCCCCTACAGTTGATGGTGATGTTATCAGTTTGATCTCAGTGTGTCCTGGTATTCTGTGACCGTCCTGTAATTCGGTATAGAAACTTGTGGCGGAAAGCTGTGTTGCTGTGTGTGAGAGTTTAAAGAAGGTAGTCAGTACATATGTCTACTTCGAAACGGATTTCGAAGCAATATTGACGACTCTGGCAGGTGACTCACTTGTCTACTGCTACCAGTAAAGTTAGGCTCACCTCCTCATATTCCATGTTGGATTACAGTTCAACAGGAGTCTATAGAGCGGTGCCATGTAAACAACTTCAGCGAACGCTTTAACCATTGGCACTAAATCAAAGAGGCGCATTACACCGGAGAGAAGATGAAGAGTTACACAAAACAATACGATTTTTATTCATTACCTGCAAAAAATGTGGTGGGAAGTTTTAACATCGCTCAGGCTTTGTAGCAATCCATTGCTTGTCACTAGAATACATCAGCCATTTCGTTTGTAGCTCTCGTTTTGTTTGCTTTATGTGTGATTTATGCAATCTCTCCGCGTCACTCTAAAAACAGCACGGCACTACTAACGCCATTCATATGCTACTTCGTTTTGTTAAAGAAGGGGCAACAATTTGAGAGGTAGATGACAGGCGTTCACGTCGCCTACAGATCACGAGGAAGGGTTCCAGTGAAAACCAGACAAAATGGTAGCAAACATCATTGGTAAACGAGTTGTAGGTAACCACCCCCACATCCTCTGTCCAAGACAGCAATCCAATGGTCAGAATGTGTGTTGCTGTATCAAAACATTTTAAGTAATGTGCCAATTTCGTCAAATCCAAACGCGTAGGCGGGTGTCCGGTTACAGTGCTCGGTGATGGTGAGACTTAGTCTATTAATGCGGGAAAAGCTAGATATTAATTTTATATTATTTCAATTTGTGGAAACTGAAATCGTAGCAACAACACAATCCGACGATGGGTGATGGTTGTTCTAACTGTTT